ATAAGTGCATTTGTTCTTGAATTGAGGAGATAAAAGAGACATTTTGCCAAAGAAACAAGACAATTTACACTTAAAATAAGAAAATACAATTGCATTGTCTTATTTCAAGTGCATATTATCTAATTATCTTATTTTAAGAGTAAAATTACTAATTCCATTGGCAAACTACCTCATTTACACTGCAAAAACGATCTAGAAATAAGTAACATTTTCTTAAATTAAGTGCATTCACTCTGAATTTGAGTAGGTAAATGAGATAGTTTGCCAATGGAATGAGTAATTTTACTCTTAAAATAAGATAATTAGATAAAATGCACTTGAAATAAGACAATGCATTTGTTTTTTCTTATTTTAAGTGTAAATCGCCTTGTTCCGTTGGCAAAATGTCTTTTTTACCTCCTCAATTCAAGAACAAATGCACTTACACTATATTGCCAAAAGTATTTGCTCACCCATCCAAATTATTGGAATCAGGTGTTCCAATCACTTCCATGGCCACAGGTGTATAAATTCAAGCACCTAGGCATGCAGACTGTTTTTACAAACATTTGTGAAAGAATGGGTCGCTCTCAGGAGCTCAGTGAATTCCAGCGTGGAACTGTGATAGGATGCCACCTGTGCAACAAATCCAGTCGTGAAATTTCCTCGCTCCTAAATATTCCACAGTCAACTGTCAGCTGTATTATAAGAAAATGGAAGTGTTTGGGAACGACAGCAACTCAGCCACGAAGTGGTAGGCCACGTAAACTGACGGAGCGGGGTCAGCGGATGCTGACGCGCATAGTGCGAAGAGGTCGCCAACTTTCTGCAGAGTCAATCACTACAGACCTCCAAACTTCATGTGGCCTTCAGATTAGCTCAAGAACAGTGCGCAGAGAGCTTCATGGAATGGGTTTCCATGGTCGAGCAGCTGCATCCAAGCCATACATCACCAAGTGCAATGCAAAGCGTCGGATGCGGTGGTGTAAAGCACGCCGCCACTGGACTCTAGAGCAGTGGAGACGCGTTCTCTGGAGTGACGAATCGCGCTTCTCCATCTGGCAATCTGATGGACGGGTCTGGGTTTGGCGGTTGCCAGGAGAACGGTACTTGTCTGACTGCATTGTGCCAAGTGTAAAGTTTGGTGGAGGGGGGATTATGGTGTGAGGTTGTTTTTCAGGAGCTGGGCTTGGCCCCTTAGTTCCAGTGAAAGGAACTCTGAATGCTTCAGCATACCAAGACATTTTGGACAATTCCATGCTCCCAACTTTGTGGGAACAGTTTGGAGCTGGCCCCTTCCTCTTCCAACATGACTGTGCACCAGTGCACAAAGCAAGGTCCATAAAGACATGGATGACAGAGTCTGGTGTGGATGAACTTGACTGGCCTGCACAGAGTCCTGACCTCAACCCGATAGAACACCTTTGGGATGAATTAGAGCGGAGACTGAGAGCCAGGCCTTCTCGTCCAACATCAGTGTGCGACCTCACAAATGCGCTTCTGGAAGAATGGTCAAAAATTCCCATAAACACACTCCTAAACCTTGTGGACAGCCTTCCCAGAAGAGTTGAAGCTGTTCTAGCTGCAAAGGGTGGACCGACGTCATATTGAACCCTATGGATTAGGAACGGGATGTCACTTAAGCTCATATGTGAGTCAAGGCAGGTGAGCAAATACTTTTGGCAATATAGTGTATTTTCAGAAAAAAATGACTTATCTAGATTTAGATTTTTTGCAGTGTACCTACTCAAATTAAGGGTGAATACACTTAATTTAAGAAATGTTTACTTATTTCTTGATCATTTTTGCAGTGTAATATCAAATTGTTTAGATAAAAAGGATGAGAATAAGTTGGGAAGAGGGAAAAAATAAAGCAGTGTTTAAGCTAAAGAAATGTCTTTTCAGGAGACTGTAGTTTTTAGAGAGAATATAGATGTGGAAAATATTTCCCTGCTCTTACATTCCCTTGGAAGGATTGGGTAGCCTATGATTTTGGTTCTTGGTGAAAGCCTTAGTTGGTCTGGCACAAAACGCAGCACGGGCACTTTCTGAAGCTCCATGCCATTGCTCAGTGGTTTTGGAAATGTGGTCTTTGCACACCCACACATTTTTATAGACTGATTCAGCTCCGTTCCTCCATTGCTTCCCCATATCTGGACCTACTGTACCCTAATTGAAGGACATATTAGTAACCAGAAGGAGCTTCTATTACTGCCCTTGTACCTTCTGTCCTGTTTCATCTTTCTAACTCTGCACAGCGCTGCCTAATCACCAATAATTTCACGTGTTTATGTTCTCCTGAGAAACATGTTTCATGTTCTTTTAAGCAAGTAGCCATTGATCTTTTATTACACTATTAAGTCAATGCCATCCACTCAAACAGCTTAAGATTAAATGCAAGCCCTTTGAAGGGTTTTATGCGTGCGTGTGAACTGGCTGCCTGCTAGCAGCCTCTTAAAAAAGCTGACTCTGAAGGAGCGGAAGCCACAGCCTCTTTATTCTGCACAACATCTGGAAAATGTCATTTAGAAGAGGCGCATTTTAGTTGGTCTATATGTTCTTTATTCCAGTAATAAACATTATATGTTATATTGAATATTGTTACCTTTTCCCCTACAGTCCTGCATACGTTAAATCAGTTTAAAATCCTGTTCAAGGCAAAAATTATCTATAATTTGAGAATTGTCTGAAATAGGAATTGGATTTTTTTTTTATTCAGATGTGTCCTTAAAGTCTCCTTCTATCTTTATTTTAGATCGGATAAGTTAAAGGTTTTGGGTTTTGTCCCATAATCTTAGAGTTGTGGAATCTGGACCCATTTCTGATGAAAGAACTGGTTTAACAGGGTTTGGTTTTCCAGCAGCATTACTTATTCACGGTTGTTTGGGATGGCCAATCTAAAACATTGCTTTTATTGTTCTAAATTAGGGGTAACCAATTAAAAATCAGCGGGGTCCGAAAAAAGAAAACGGAGACAGTTTTTATTATAATCTGTTACTTTAAATGGTAAATGGCATCTACTTATTAGGGGTGGAACGGTTCACAAAATCCACGGTTCGGTTCGGTTCACCGTTTCGTGGTCATGGTTTTCGGTTCGGTTCGGTATATGTTTATTGTTACACCGAAAAATAAAAAAATGTATAAAATTAATGAATTTTTTTTTTTTTTTTTATGAAATTAATGACATAATCCCAAAAAAATTTATGAATTTTAATAATTTTTAATGATCCGCGGAAACCCTGGATCATTTCCGCATGTTTTGCTGCTTTGAATTTAATCATCTGGCGCATGCTCTCTACGATCTCCAAGGAACTCAGAGCGGAGCGGACGGGAGCCACAGTGGAGGCTGTAGGCTTTGCTTTGTGCAGGCGGTCTGGAGCGCAGCGGGGCGGAGCGCTGATGGAGTATGTGGGATTTCGGGGTTAGCATGACATATTGGTCGTGTTGCTGTTAGCATAAACACAACGTGTTGCACAATGCTTGCACAATGTTGCACTTTTATCCACAACTTTCTTTCCGCCGTCATCGTAGGTCACTCTAAATGCAAAGTGGTCCCATACAGCAGACCTATAAAGTGCTGCTGGCGCGTCTTCCAACTCCTGTTCTTTCCCACTCACCATACCCACACAATTCTCCACAACAACTGATGTTTTTCTGCTACACCCGGCTACGCTGCTTCGCTTCTTCTTCTTCTTGTTTACTACTGGTGGTTGGCTTTGGTCGCAGTACCGCCACCTTCTGCACTGGAGTGTAATCGCTTCGCCGATAAGAAAAAGTAGCAGCGCATGAACCGGACGCAACACACGTGAACCGAACCGAGACAGTCGAACCGAACGGTTCGGACAGTTTTCATAAACCGTTCCATCCCTAGTACTTATATAGCGCCTTTATTCAAGTCAGGAGACTTGATCAAAGCGATTTACACTACATTCATTCACCCATTCATGCACACACTGATGGTGGCAAGCTACATTGTAGCCACAGCTGCCCTGGGGCTCACTGACAGAAGCAGGGCTGCCGTACTCTGGCGCCACCGGGCCCTCTGACCACCATCAGTAGACAATGCAGGTGAAGTGTCTTGCCCAAGGACACGACACTGAAAGTTGGAGTCGGGGCTTGAACCGTCAACCCTTCGATTTCAGGGCAAACTCCTACATCCAACGCCACTGTCGCCCTATCAGTCTTTAAGCAGAATTTAACACTGAAATAAAATGAGATTTTTATGCATCCACGTTATACGTTGAATTTTTATTTTTAAATAAAAAATATTTTAAAAAAATCATGTGTTTGCTGAAGTAGAGAAAAAAAACATTGTTTGGTATATAGATAATTTCCTGATTCACATATTTTATAAATCACCTGAACTGACCGGATTGTTTTTTTTTTCTTTTTTCTGTCTTAATGTTGGCAGTGGGCTTTAGGCTGCCCTGCAAGGCTTTAAACCTGGGTTTAAATGGAGACTAAGCCATTCTCAAGCACATATCAAGGTGCTCATTTTGAGCCTGGATCCAGATTTATTTCTGATTCTGTTCATGGTGGAATCTGGAAAGAAATCTGCCAAGATCTCACATTTGATTTCAAAGTTATTCAAACAGTAATCTGTTAAAATGCATCCATGCTGTTAAACAGTCACTCTATGTTACAAATCTTAGTGTGAATGTAGGGTATAATATATGCATATATGAACTGAGCGTTTACTCTTTGTGTCTGCAGTGATTTCTTTGTCTTTCTCAGCAGTATTTAATGTGTTTTTGGTTGATGTTTACTGTTTTGACTCCTTGCATTGTTCTGAGCCAAATTACTTTCCCTCTGATTATACCATTATATTCCCATCAGAACAAATTGGCTCATTGCTCTCTGGAATGAAATAACTTCCTTAGCAGCCATGTGGAAATACAGTCAGCAGAGGACAGAAACCAACAGACAGACAGTGAAATGTTAAAAAATAGAAAAACAATTTTTCAATTCTTTCTTTATTGCCACTTAGGTGTTTGAATGTGTCTCGATTCTTTTCCCCTCAGTCTGTAACTGTGACCTGGCACGGTCGGGCTTCTTCCAGAAGAAGGGCGAATACATTTGCACAGCAGACTACCAGCGTTTATACGGCACACGCTGTGACCGCTGCAACAGCTTCATCACTGGAGAGGTGGTCTCCGCTCTGGGACGCGCCTACCACCCTAAGTGCTTTGTCTGCAGTGTGTGCAGGTATGTAGTCACAGTTTTCACCACACGCCAACATATATTCTTCCCCCCTTAAGGTTCCTCCTACTTGGGCTGATTAGTAGAAACCTTTATTATTAATAACTGGATCGGTAATTTGCAACTTATTTATGTTTTTTTGTTTGTTTTTTTGACTCAGTAAATACATTGTTCTATAATTAAATTCTCCTATGCTGTATCACCAATTGAATAATAAAATATTCAGACTCACACATCTACAACTAGTGTTGATTTGTCAAAATGATGTAAATTCATAAAACTTTTAAAAAATTTTATTCCCTTTTTAGTAGGGATGGAACCGGTTGTAAAAACCGTCCGAACCGTTTGGTTCGACTGTCTCGGTTCGGTTCGCGTGTGTTGCGTTCGGTTCATGCGCTGCTCCTTTTTCTCATAGGCGAAGCGTTTACACTCCAGAGCAGAAGGTGGCGGTACTGCGACCAAAGCCAACCACCAGTAGTAAACAAGAAGAAGAAGAAGCGAAGCAGCGTAGCCGGGTGTAGCAGAAAAAAAATCAGTTGTTGTGGAGAATTGTGTGGGAATGGCGAGTGGGAAAGAACAGGAGTTGGAAGACTGGAAAAAATGGAAATCTAGATAAGTCATTTTTTCTTAAAATAAGTGCATTTGTTCTTGAATTGAGGAGATAAAAGAGAAATTTTGCCAATGAAACAATATTTTTTAGATTTGAAATAAGAAAACACAATTGTATTGTCTTATTTGAAGTGCATTTTATTGAATTATCTTATTTTAAGAGCAAAAATACTCATTCCATTGGCAAACTATCTCATTTACCTACTCAAATTAAGGGTAAATACACTTCATTAAAGAAATTTTTGCTTATTTCTAGATCATTTTTCCAGTGAAGAAGCGCCAGCAGCACTTTATACACTGCAAAAATTATCTAAAAATAAGTAAAAATTTCTTGAATTAATGCAAATGTGTTTTCATATATTAAGTGTAAATTGTCTTGTTCCATTGGCAAAATGTCTCTTTTACCTCCTCAATTCAAGAACAAATGCACTTATTTTAAGAAAAAATTAATTATCTAGATTTAGATTTTTTGCAGTATAAGTCTGCTGTATGGGACCACTTTGCATTTAGAGTGACCAACGATGACGGCGGGAAGAAAGTTGGGGATAAAAGTGCAACAGTGTGCAAGCATTGTGCAACAGGTTTTGTTTATGATAACAGCAACATGACCAACATGTCATGCTAACCCCGAAATCCCACATACTCCGTCAGCGCTCGCCCCGCTGCGCTCCAGACCGCCATTTTTATGGGATTTCGGGGTACACTGGAAAAAGGATCTAAAAATAAGTAGAAATGTCTTAAATTAAGTATATTTACCCTTAATTTGGCTAGGTAAATGAGATAGTTTGCCAATGGAATGAGTATTTTTGCTCTTAAAATAAGAAAATTTGATAAAATGCACCTGAAATAAGACAATGCAATTGTTTTCTTATTGTAAGTGTAAATTGTCTTGTTCCACTGGCAAAATATCTCTTTTATCTACTAAATCCAAGAACAAATACAATTATTTTAAGAAAAAACAGCTTATCTAGATTTCGATTTTTTTCCAGTGTAACAATCAACATATACCGAACCGAAAACCGTGACCATGAAACCGTGAACCGAACCGAACCGTGGATTTTGTGAACCGTTCCACCCCTACTTTTTAGTATAAAACCAAAAATACCAACAACCTCATGAAATAAGCTTAACCCTTTTTAGGGCACTCAGTGAAATCCTTTGAAAACCCACATTTGAAGCCAATAGTGTTATTTGAATCCAGGACCTTATTACCTTTGGAACATTTTGATGGCAAAAATGAATATCAGTGTAATAACAAGAAACGCCAACTTGCCCAAATATATTAAGAAAAATAACAAAAATAAGTGCTTCTATGAGAAATTTATGAAAAACACAAAGAAACACTTTTTTTTTTTTTTACAAACTAACCTTAGAGGCTGTAAGGCTGATACTGGGAGTTACATTTTTTAGTTTATATACCTAAATATAATTGTTAACTAGGCTTATTAACTTTTCAATTGGCTTTTTACTTTTTTTTCTTGACTTTTTGACTCTTTATTTTACTTTTTACCTTTTTTAATTTATTTTTTTATTTAATTTGCAGTAGGCAATATATCATTCAAAGACTCATCTAAGTGGTCAAATGCCCAAATAATGCTGGATATAGATCTTGTGCTTCTAGACCTCACTGAGGGATGGAGGGGGCTCTATTTTTTAAGGGTTATGCAAGTGATCAACTTGCCCTATAAAGGGTTAACTATATGCTTAATAACGATATTTTGGTCATCATATATTTAAACATAGAAAAAACTAGTCAAAAATAGAGGCCTGCTTTGTCGCTTTTTTTTTTAAGATTGCACAAAGCATTTTTCAAACAAAACAAAATAAAACAAAAGTTAATTTTGGTGTCATCTGATCACGTATCTTTCTGTGCATATTTGTAATGGGTTTGATAGACTTTATAGATTTATTTTAACCCTGTATTGTTACTACAACTCCTGCATAGACAACTGTTTTGTGAATTCTATTTTCCTCTGGACGTTCACAACAGGGTTTAGAGGAAAAGTCCGGTCAGTAAGGAATAATCAACGGATCATTATTTATAACTTAAACTTATACGTTTACAGTGATTTAATGAATTTAGCTGTAATCAGTTAAAAAAATTCAAATAATATTTTCATCACGATCTCTGAGTCTTGGAGCGGCCATTTTTGCCCACATATAGTAGCCCCTCCCTCCTGCCATCTTCCAGCAGTGACGTCACGGTGCGGTAAGCCTAGCGCCATTCTCCCCGCTTTACAAGCTAAATCAATGGGAACTACTAGACACATCTGCAATCAACAACAATTATTGAAGATTTCCAGAGGACTTCACCATTGAAATTCACCAGAGCTATAGTGAAACTGACAATGCCCACGTGCATGGCAGCTGGATGCTGGAATACATCGGGTAAAAGGGAAAAAAAGAGTTATTCCACCTTTCTGATTCCTGATCCTCCACGGACGGGTTGGTCGTTGGATCGCCAACTTGAAGAGGGAGGATTTGCCATCGAACTTCTGGCCAGAGAAAAAACCCGTAATATGTAGCCAACATTTGGAAGAAGAATGTTTTCAACATGACTTGGATAATAGCGCGTTGTGACAAACACCAGATACAGCACTGGGACTTGATCAACAGCCGATACCGCACCGTGACGTCACAAACCAGTAGGTGGCAGTAGTGTTCTTTGACAAACATGGATGCCTCCAGTAAAGCACATTCACATGAAAATTACACTTAATTAAAAACACAGATAATTTATTAAACAGAATGTAATCATTTTGTATTTAAAGTACTTTCAGAAGTTTGAATTCTAAATGTTTCTTTAAAGTCCAGTTTGGCCCCTTTTTGTTAATGTTATAAAACTGTTTCCCTTTGCAGAAATAAACCAACAAGCTTAAAAAACTAAACCCATCTGATCTAGATTCCTAAAAAGGTTTAGCCTGGGCTTACATTTTTATGTTTTACCACATGAATACATCTACCTTTCTCATTAGTTAGAATTGGATGGTTGCTTTGAAGGCATAATCTATTTTTAGATGAAGGCAAAGGCCCCATGGGGGCTTTTTTGTGTTTAGTTGAGGGATGAAAAACAAAAAAAAATCTCAAATTTTTTTTTTATATTAGAATTATAAACTTGTTTTTGATGATCCACCCCATAGAATAACTGCTTCTAAAACATAAAAGCGTGTGGTTGTGAAAAGAAAAAAAAGAATTTAAAAGTTTATTTGCTCAAATACTCACTTAAGATTTTATAAAGAGGCGATAAAAGTGTGTCATGTGCTCCTCACTTGCCTTTTTCAGTGCTCTGTGTATGTCCATGGGAATCTAATCAGCTCCCTTGGTGATAATAGCCTGATAAAAGAACAAGGAGCATATTGTTGAGACACTGAATAAGAAATGTTTTATTCTCCTCATGAATCATGAGTCTGTTTTCTGTCTCATGACCACCCATTCCTTTTAGAAATCCAGCAGCACAACGAGGATGACTAAATTTAAGGACTTTAAACCTTAAAGTAGCCTATCATCTGAGTATGAAATGATATCCAACTGGAAAACTCAGAGATTAGATTATAGATTTCCTTAGCAGGGGTCTATAACAGCTGATGTAATTGAGACACTGTGTAGAGGGTTGTAACAAAAGTTTACAGTAGTAGCCATTCAAAATGTCCCCACTTTCCTTGATGAGCCCTTGGCTGATCCTTGGCTGGTCCCCTACAAGTCCTTTTTCAAACATTAATATTTGTACAAAAATATTCTTTCTGTCACGTTAGTGGACATTAAGCTCTAAAGAGAAGTGTAATCTCCTGGTCAGACCCCATAATTCAGTGAAATGGTGGAGTCAAAGTAAAAAAATATGCACGGCCAGGAGAAGGAGAGGGTCCCTCCAGTTAATGGAAGTTGGCTGCCATTCGGCTGGCGTTTGACTGGGAAGGGCCGATTTGAATGGCTGCTACTGTATAGCCGTTCTAAAGTATAACAGATACAGCAATGCACTATGGTGCTGTGTGAAAATTCAGTCCTCTGACTTCTTTAAATTCACTCTTGCATTCTGTGCCCTGAAGTGCCCCCTGTAGTTGATCAGATTATTAGATACAGAGAGCCTCAAAAGAAATAAAATGCTCCAAGCGCTGTGCAGTAAATGTTTGTTTTGGCTCATTTCTGTATGCAACATGGATGAATCAAGCATATTAACCAGCCTGTATGGTTGATACAAGTCCTTAGAAGATAGTCGATAGCTTACAAGCAGAGATGGCAAAAGTACTCACTTTCCGTACTTGAGTATAAGTACAGGTACTTGTGTTAAAAAATACTCTGGTAAAAGTGGAAGTACTGATTAAACTTCTTTACTCAAGTAAAAGTAACAAAGTACAGGCTTGTAAATTTACTTAAAGTATAAAAGTAAAAGTAGAAACCCC